TGGGGGCCATGCCTCCTTCCTCTCTCCCTGGCTGGGTACATTGAGCCCCTCTTATTCTGTGAGGTTGACCCTTGTCCTCTGGACCACAGCAAGGGCTGGGGTTGTGTGTGTGTGTGTGTGTGTGACTCAGATCCTCCAAGCAGACTCTGAGGGGGGCAACCCCAGGAAGCCTGTGGTGGTCTTCGAAGAGAAAAATCTCCTTTTCCTGGGCTGATGACAAATGACATTTCTCTGAAATCAAAACCAGGGGCTTCTTTCACTTTCTGCCCAAGGGGTCAAGATCCCTGGAGATTTCCGCCTCTTATCACGCTTTTAGCACCACCGTCTCTTCTCCTCTTCCTGTGTGGCTCACAATGTCCTTGAAATGTCTATCCTGCCTCAGCCAGTGCCACCACACCCATTTCTGACACTCTGTAATTTGAGGAAGGGACAAACCCTTTGAGACTCAGTTTCTTTTTTTTTTCCTTTTTTTCCATTCTATTAATCCGATTCCTAAGCTGATCTTTCCATTCCCTGAGAAGATATCTTGGGATATTTGTGGCATGTGTCTGGTATTCATATAGGTACAATAAACAGCTAAAAGAGAAACTAGGCAGACGTTGGTAGACGCTGTGGTGACAAGATTCAGTCTCGGTCCCCATAGGTTTCTCCCTGGATTCCGGCCCCTCCTAGCCCCAATGGGGTAACATTTGCTTTTCTCCCTTTGGCTCCAGGGCTCCAGGGTATTCAGACCAGACTTCTACTCTCTCCCTCCGGGCCTAGGATGCCTTCCCTCCCATTCTAGCTTGGATGCAGGCAGGTGTCAGCCCCTCCTAGGTCAGACAGGGTGTGTCGGTGGGTGAGGCTGGCGAAGGGGCAGTAGGGTGGAGATAGGGGAAGATGAGTCAGAGCGAAAGGGAAAATGCAAATGGCAACTTGTGTTCATCTGCTCCCCTGAAAGTTACATATTTTCCATTTCTGGGCTTTCTAATTCCTGACATCACACACTTGGGAACACACGAGATTCTCCCATGTAAAAAGACACAAAATGACAATCCTTCCACTAGGTGTGCAAACAGACAAAACTTCTCCAACACAAAACCAGTCTCTAAAAACAAGAAGTGGGGCAAAGCCACAGCTGCGGAGGGAAAGGTACTGGGGTCTGGTGACAGCCTCG